GCCGCCATGCGAACGCAGCCACTGGAGCCTTCGGTGGAGCTCCCTATGGGGCCACGATCCTCGTGAGGGGTGTGCCGAAATGGCCCGAGGCCACCATGCGAACGCAGCCACTGGAGCCTTCGGTGGAGCTCCCTATGGGGCCACGAAGCGCTGTACTGGGTGGGTGAAACGCAAGGAGGAGAGGGGAGGAGGGGGAGGAGGGGGAGGAGGAGAGGAGAGGAGTGACGCAGGGCACCGTCTCTTCAAAACGAGGACCCAACACCACAGGATGGTTGGGAAAACAAGTCTCGATGGTCTTGTCCGTCTACGCACTCGAAAGCTCTCGACCAATGTCCACCCACCCCCGCGCTTCCTCCCCACCAGCCAACGTGCGACCCTCTGAACCACGCGAACGCAAAGCGAACGCTCCAACGAGTGCAGAACACAATTGCAAAAAATCCGCGATGGTCTTGTCCTTCTGAGCCACCGACCTACGTGCGACCGTCCGGTAGCGCATGCGCAAGGCGAACGCCCCAACGAGCCCCCACGTGTGCGAACGCAGCCATTGGGGCCTTCGGTGGAACTCCTTATGGGGCCACGAAACGTGTGAACGCGTGCCGAAATGGGTGCGGTGGGCGCATGCGAACGCAGCCACTGGGGCCTTCGGTGGAGCTCCCTATGAGGCCACGAAACGTGTGAGGGGTGTGCCGAACTGGGTGCGGTGGGCGCATGCGAACGCAGCCACGGGGGCCTTGGGTGAGGCTCCCTATGGGGCCACGAAACGTGTGAGGGGTGTGCCGAAATGGGTGCGGTGGGCGCACGTGAACGCAGCCACTGGGGCCTTCGGTGGAGCTCCCTGTGGGGCCACGAAACGTGTGAGGGGTGTGCCGAACTGGGTGCGGTGGGCGCATGCGAAAGCAGCCACGGGGGCCTTCGGTGAGGCTCCCTATGGGGCCACGAAACGTGTGAGGGGTGTGCCGAAATCGGTGCGGTGGGCGCATGTGAACGCAGCCACTGGGGCCTTCGGTGGAGCTCCCTGTGGGGCCACGAAACGTGTGAGGGGTGCGCCGAAATGGGTGCGGTGGGCGCATGCGAACGCAGCCACAGGGGCCTTCGGTGGAGCTCCCTATGGGGCCACGAAACGTGTGAGGGGTGTGCCGAATTGGGTGATGACGATGACGATGATGATGATGGTGGTGATGATGACGTCGATGATGTCGATGATGATCATGGTGATGACGATGACGATGACGATGATGATGATGATGATGATGATGATGATGATGATGATGATGATGATGATGATGATGATGATGATGATGATGATGATGATGATGATGATGATGATGATGATGATGATGATGATGATGGGAGGGGGGAGGAAGGGGAGGAGGAGGAAGGAGGAGAGAGGAACGCGGGGCGACGTCTCTTCAAAACGAGGACCCAACACCACAGGATGGTTGGGAAAAACAATTTGGAATCGACGATTTGGGCCTCTTCGGGCCGTCCTGGGACGCCTCTCGGACCTCTCTTGGGGTCTCTTGGAGGCCACCTGGGAACCTCGAGAGCCGTCGGAAGGCTGACTTGGGCTGCTTGGGAGCGTCTTGGGCCATCCTTTCGCATTCTGGGGGCTGCTGGGGAGGGCCGCTGTGGAGGCTCCCCGGAAAGGCCGGGGGAGCGGTACCGGGAGCGTTCCCGAGATGCGGCGGGGAGGTGTGGGACGCGGGGCCGGGACGCCTCTTAGGGCCTTTTGGGGGTAATATATATATATATATATATGTGAATAAATACATAGATATAGATTGCGAAAGGAATGGGGCCAGCTTCGTCTCCTGGGGCTCTCTTGGAGGGCCTCTTGGAGCCTTCTTGGGGCGTCTTGAGGGCCTCGTGGCTCTTCTGAAAGCCATCTTGGGCCGTATCGGAGCGCTGCTGGGGCCCTCTCGGGACGACCGGGAACTCTCTTGGGCCATCTTGGGCGTACTGGGAGGCCCGGGGGCCGCCGGAGGAGCGTCCAGGGAGGCCCTCCTGGGCCGTCTTGGGGCTGTCTCAGCCGTATTGGGGCGTCCTTGGGCGCCTCTTGGGGCTTTTTGACCGCTCCGATGTCCAAGGGAGCTGATATCCTAAAAATGTACGTTTTACATACGGAATTGGGCCATTTCGGTCTCCCGGGGCGCTCTTGGGGGGCCTCCTGGCGGCCTCATGGGGCGGTTTCCACTACCTATGCACAAGGGAGGTTCCGGCCAGGGGCCCGGGGCCCAGGAGACTCCCATACATGAGCATCTACCAATATATGTATGTATGTATATATATATATATATAGAGCTGCAGAACGTATTCCAGGAGGGCTCCAAGACCCCCAAATCATTGATCCCCCTACGGTTTGGAAGAGATGCTCGATGTCTCGGCTGTTCAGTCTTTCGGCAGCTCAAGACAAAGCAGCTCTCAAGATAGCCCTCGGACGGCCTGGGAGGGCCTCGAATTCCCCCACGAGGCGTCCAAGACGACCTCAAGAAGGCCCAACCGAGCTCCCAGACGGCCACGGACAGCCCCAAGTGTGTTCCACAGTGGCCCGCAAGAGGGCCCCTCAACGACTCCAGACAACCTTAAAACAACCCCAGGACGGCCCCAAGAAGCTCCACAGACGGCCAAAAGAACTCGAAGACTGCCGAAAACGGCCCCAGCAAGACCCAAGAGACTCCTAAGGATCGGACCGCCCCAGAACGGCTCAAGAGACAGACGGTTTCGCATGTAACGGCTTACCTGTCTCTCCTCCTCCTCCTCCTCCTCCTCTTCCTCCTCCTCCTCGTCATCATCCTCATCATCATCATCATCATCATCATCATCATCATCATCATCATCATCATCATCATCATCATCATCATCATCATCATCGTCATCGTCATCAGCATCATCATCATCAGCATCAGCCTCAGCATCAGCATCATCATCATCATCATCATCATCATCATCATCATCATCATCATCATCATCATCATCATCATCATAGTCATCATCACCACCAACAACAACATCAACAGCAGCAGCAGTCACAACAAATGCAACAACCACAACAACCACAACAACACCAACAACACCAACAACAACATCAAATTCAAACACAACCACAATCACAACTACAACCACAACAGCATCATTAGTATCAGCATTATCATCATCAGCATCAACACCATCATCACCATCACCACCGCATTCATCAGCATAATCAGCATCCTCAGTATCATCAGTATCATCATCATCGTCATCATCATCAGCATAACAGCATGATGATAGTAATCATCATCAGCATCAGCATCAGCAGCATCAGCATCATCACCATCAGCATCAGCATCATCATTGTCAGCATTATCCTAAACATCAGCATCCTCGTCATCACCAGCTGCAGCAGCGACAACAGCATCGTCATAATCGCCAGCATCCTAATCGTCGTAACATCGCCACCACCATCATCGTGATCACCATCATCAACAACAAAAACATCATCAGCAACATCATCATCATCATCATCATCATGATCATCAGCAGCAGCAGGATCATCACTAACATCATCCTAACATTCATCGTCATCCTCATCATCATCAGCAGCAGCATCACCATCATCATCATCATCAGCATCATCATCAGCATCATCGTCGTCGCCCTCACAATCGCAATCACATTCTACGAAACCCTCGTCGAGCAGGGTGCCACAGCAGCCCAATCTCGGTTAGAAACCGCCGAGGTGCCACATGCGACGTTTTGTGCTTCGCCATAACCGTACATATTCTCCTTCCACCAAGGTCGTCTACCCGAGTCATCGTTCTACCTAGCCTCCTCTTCTCTTCGCCATCATCTTTCTCTTTCTCCAGGCTTCAGCCTCCGCAGACAACCTCTGATGCTGCCGAAGATCGCACACAACGCCGAAGAGAACACCTGGACGGCCCAAGGCATCCCCCACGACGGCCACGGGAGACCCGCCAGACGGCCACGAAGCCGACAAGAGAGCCCCAAGATGGCCTAGGCCTAGAGAGCCCAAGACGGCCCAAGCTCAGAGAGCCCCATGGAACCCTCAAGGCTACCCCACAGAAGCCCAGGGCATCCCCAAGACAGCCCAACTGAGGTCCATCAGGGCTCCGCGAGAAATGAAGGCGAAGGGTGTCACATGTGACGACTCTCATTCTCCTCCTGCTCCTCCTCCTCTTGCTCCTGCTCCTACTCCTCCTCGTCATCAACATCACCAGCATATGATTCGTTCCCCTCGTCCGCCACAATCCTCCTCCTTCTCCTCCTTCTCCTCCTCCTACTCATCATCCGCCTTCTCCTCTCTACGTCCTCCTCATTTTCTCATCGTCATCATAAGCAGCAGCAGCAGCAGAAGCAGCAGCAGCTGCAACAGGAGCTGCATCCTCCTCCTCCTCCTCATCATCATCATCATCAGCATCATCAGCAGCAGCAGTACCACAACAGCATCAGCATCAGCATCAGCATCAGAATCATCGTCATCATTATCAGCAGCAGCATCATCATAATCCTCATCATCATCAGCACCAGCATCAGCTTTATCATCAGCATCATCATACTTATCGTCATCGTCATCGTCATCGTCATCTCCATCGTCGTCATAATCCTCAACATCATCAGCAGCATCATCATCATCATCATCATCATCATCATCATCATCATCATCATCATCATCATCATCATCTCCACCACCACCATCAGCAGCAGTACCACCACCACCACCACCACCACCGTCAGCATCAGCATCATCAGCATCATCATCATCATCATCATCATCAGCATCATCAGCATCATCATCATCATCATCATCATCATCATCATCATCATCATCATCATCATCATCATCATCATCATCATCATCATCATCATCATCATCATCATCATCATCATCATCATAATTATCATCAGCATCATCATCGTCGTCGCCGTCCTCATCGATTCGAGCAGCTGTCACCGAAAACTCGGAGATGTCACGGTGGCAGGACTAGCCGCAGGCAGCCGGCTAAAACTCGTCCTTCCCGTAGCACTGGGCGCCCGCGGCCCTGCAGCACCTCGAGGAGCTGCAGTCGTCGCCGGGCCAGGCGCACCCTGCCGCGCCCGCGGCCGCCCTCTCGGTGGTGGCGGGCGCTGGGGGCGCGGCCGGCCCATCGGGCTCGGGCGCCGGCGAAGGCTCGGAGGGCGCGGCCGCCGCCAGCAATGGGTCGGAGGGCGCGGGCGCCGCCGACAGAGGCACCTCGGAGGGCGCGGAGGTCGCGGCGGCCACTGGGAGCAGCCCGGGCGCGCCTGCCGCTGGCAGGGGCGCAGGCGGCGCTGCCCGCACGCTGGCGGGCCACACAGGGGCGGCGGCGGGCGCGGAGGCCTCCGCCGCCGGCGCGGGCTCACAGCCCCTGCCGGCGTGCTCGCAGCACCTGGGGCGACGAAGTCTAGACATGTCCACTGCTCCCTGGTCAGGCTCATCCTGAGCCCCGCAGCGGGGTTGCACGCCACGCCGTCCAGGCTTGGCCAGGAGGGCGTGTACACAGCTCCTGGGTTCAGCATGGGCCTGGCCAGGGAGCAGTGGATGTGTTTTGCTTCGCAGCCCGAAGCACCAACTCTTCATCTCCGTCGACCACCCCTCGCGCCAGTTGCCGAGGTCGGCGTCACAGTCAAACGCCGCGAGGGCGCCCGAGCGCTGGCCAGAGATGGTGAGGAACTGGTTCGGCACCTCGAACTTCTGCACCTCCCCGCTCACGCGGCCGAGGGCGGCGCCCCCGCGCCCGCGCCAGCCCGCCGCCCCGGCAACAAGGAGGCCTGCGCACAGCCCCACGGAGCCCAGCAGAGCTGCTCCCACTCGGCCGAGGCCGCGTTCACGCCGCCGCGCGGCCTCGGGCTGGGCATCCATCGCCACGCCTGCCGGCAAGTCTCCAGCCTGCAGGCTCGCGTAGGTGTGCGTCGCGCGCCCGTCCACCATCGCTGCACGCGGGGCGGCGCTGGTGGTTGACAGGAGGTGGCTGGGCGTGACAGGACAGAGCTGGGGCACGGCGCGCGCGCCAGAGGCTCGCGGAGGGAGGGCGCGGTCCGGCTTCAGAGGTCCGTGTGCTCGTCGCGAGGGAGGGGCAGCTGCCGTTTCCGCCGCCGCTGCCACCGCTGCCGCCGCAGATTCTGCCGTCAAGTGAGCGACGACCAAAACCGGGCCTTACGCAAGATGAAACAGCGACCTTACGCCACAGCTTGCGCGGGCCGCCAGCGCGGCACGCTACATTGGAGACGAGGTCGCTTGCGCGCGACCTCACGCGGGCAGCTTACGCGCCAACGTCGGTGAAGACGACCCCGTCTTTTTGCGTCGCTCTCATAGCTTCCGCCGCATCTTCCGCTGTCAAGCATACCAGGACACCCCCCCAACAGCAGACATAGCGGAAGCTGGACACGAGAAACGCTTCAGACCTGCAGCTGGTGTGGCCCAGCTTGTAGACGGACGGAGCGCCAGGTGGGGCCAGCAAAGGGCATCGCATCTGCTGCGCCCTGTGTCAGATGGAAACCTCCTGGGTCTTCTCACCCAAGATTGTTCGAGGAAGGGGGCAATGCTGGCGAAGTGTAGTCTGAAACAGCTCTTGCTAAATGATCACATGTGGAATTCGAGTCGTGTGCTGGACACCGACTGGCCGCCAACAAGTAAGACGCGGGTCGTGTGCTGATCCCTGGGGTGTTTCGAGCGAGTCCGAGTCCGGAACACACAGCCCAATAGCCTGGCCAGACGTTGACCCAACAACTTGGCCACATCAGCACTTCCACAAAGGCAGGGGGCGGCGGTGACTCGCCGAAGGCGTCTTCGATCCGCGATCCCCGTAGCCTACTAGAGGGGTGCGAACTTTCTAGCTTTGAATGACTCCACGAATGTTCCCAGTGGCCTTCAGCCCAAGCCGCCGACTGCGTGTCCCGTGGTCTACTACATACAAGATGGCTCCAAGATGGCCCAAGATGGCCTCCAAGACTGTCTCAAGACGCCTCCAAGACGGCCAAGATGGCCCCACGAGGGCCTCGAGACGGCCCTGGCCTCAAGACGGTCCGAAGAGGCCCCCCATACGGCCCAGGAGGGCCCCAAGAGGCTCTCCAAGAGGGCCCGAAGATGCCAAAAACAGTTGCTTGCCGAAAGCGTTTTGCTGACTTCGGGCTCCCGAATTGTACGGCTTACGACAGCCCAAGGCGGCCGCAGAGGCCTCCCAAACTGCCCCGAAACGATCCAATTGGCCCCAGTCAATGGCCCCAAGACAGCCCGAGATGTTCCCAAGACTGCACCGAGAGTGCCCCAAGACGGCCCGAGAGACCACCAAGATGGCCGTAAACCTCCACAAGAGGGTCCCAAGACTGCTCAGGAAGGCCTCCAAGCCGGCCTTCAAGGGCGTCAGACGGGCCAAGGAAGCCTCAAGGCGACCCAAGAGGTCACCAGGAGCCCCCAAGACGCCCCTCAGAGGCCCACAAGAGGTCTCCAGGAAACCCCCGATAGGCCCCAAGAGGGCCTGAAGAGGACCCCAAGAAGTGTCTTCCTCCTCCTCCTTCTCCTCCTCTCCTCCTCCTCCTCCTCCTCATCCGTTTCCTCCTCCTGCTCCTCCTCCTTCTCCTCCTCCTCCTCCTCCTCCTCCTCCTCCTCCTCCTCCTCCTCCTCCTCCTCCTCCTCCCCACGACGGCCCCAAAGCCCCAAAGAGGAGGCCAAGGGAGCCCCAAATCGGCAGAATCATGCATAAACTGCACGTCGCGAGGGTGTGTCGATAATCCCGGGGGGAGATCCTAACTCTCTTTTAGAGAGGAAAGTTACATGATGCTCGCTAGTGAGTTGCCAACTCCACTGCTCGCGCAATCATCCCACCCACCCGCAACTTGCTTTGCAAAACCCATGCGACGACGATTGCGATGATTGCTTGGCGCTGGTTGGCGCCTTGCTGCGGCCTCGCTAGCACGCCCCGGCTCGCGCGAAGAGCGGCCAGCTAGTCTGGCGCGACCGACGCGGCCGCGGTGGCGCTGACGCTGGGGACTTCCCAGCGCGTCTTGCAGGCCTCACTGACGCGCGGGCACACCAGTGCGAGTCGGTGACCCGGGGAAGCGAGGTATCATGGCGACGTCGACAACGACAGAAACGATGATGATAGTAGCGATGGTAGTGGCGACGATAACGATGACGACGGCAAGGCCCACGACGGCACCGATGCTGATCACGCAGATGATAATGTTGGTGTCCACGCGTCGGTGATGAAGGTATCGAAAGGAGTTCGACATGCGCGCGCGGCCGGCGGGCGCAAGTGGCCCGCATGATAGTATTTGACAGGGACCGTGCCCCCCCCCCCCCAGATAGCGCGCAAAGGTGTTCGAATGATTTCGACATGCGTGCGCGAGAGGCCCGCTTGGTCTCGTTGGATGGGGATGTTGAAATACTATGGTTTTCCTGAAAGTTCGCAAGAGCGCGCGCGAAAACTTGTTGAAACTTGTTGAAACATATTGTTGCACAACCAGCGCGGTTTTTATGTTTTCGGGAACCTCGATCTTGAAATCCATACGAAAACTAAGGCTTTCGAAGGATTCCGAGATGCGCGCGCGAGGACGTACGCGTGTGGACTGTGTCGCATTTGTTGCAAGGAACTCCTGAAAACTGATTAGTTGTGATAAACGCGTGCGCGCATTGCATTTTTTGACAGGGACGAGGGGGGGGGCGACAACGGCATGCCTGGGATGGTACGCCTTTGTACTTAAGATGAACGGTGGGGCAGATCCGTGTGTAGATCGTAATATCCCAGGGAGGGTCGATCAACCCTGGGGAGGATAGATCCCAATTCCCTTCTGGAAATGAAGCCCTACGACGGGCGGCAGCGAGGCGGCGACGGGGCGGCGACGGCGGCCACATAGCCGCCAGACCAGCCGTCAGGCCCAGACGACGGGCGGCGATGAGGCGACGACCGCCAGGCCGGCCGTCCGGCCCAGACGTCGGCGGGTGACGACGAGAGGCGACGGGGCGGCGACGGCGGCCACATAGCCGCCGACTTGCCGTCAGGCCCAGACGACGGGCGGCGACGAGGCGGCGACGGGGCGGCGACGGCGGCCACGTAGCCGTCGACCAGCCGTCAAGCCCAGTTCCTTAGAAAAAAAATGCGAACCCCTGGGTGCAAGGACTGGTTGGGGAAAGTGGCTAGAATTATGTATTTGAAGGATTTTGACGTGCGCCCGCGGCGGCGCGCGCGGATTTGTGGTTTTCGGCAATGGATCATTGAAAACTGATGATAAACGAACGTGCGCGTGATATCATTTCACAAGGATGACTGGCGGAAGTCGATACTGGTCCTCCTTGGATGGTCAGATTGCATGTGGAAAATGAAAGACGAAATAGAATCATAAACAAACTGCAATAGGAAATGGGAAACGGTTAGCCCCGGGCGCGGGCGGGTGGTAGAATATATTCCTCCCCTGGTAGGAGAACATGTGTGATGCAAGGTACGTGGTGCAACGTATGCGTTGCAAGCTACGCGATGGAAGCTACCTGATGGATTCTGGAAACCCTGAACCCAAAAACGCTTTCATCTCTTGGGGCACATCTTTTACTTCTGCCGCTTTCCGCCGGCCTTCCGCTGGCTTCCGCCGGCAGAGGCGGCCTCGTTTTACTTCCGCCGCCTTCCGCCGCCCTTCCACCGCCTTCCGCAGAGGAAGGGATGACAACTCCCTCGTTCCTCGAAGGCGAGGCCCCTTCTGGAACGCCTCACGCGACGCAATCAGCTGTGCGCGTAGTGCAACATGCGCGCTGCGGGCTACGTGCTGGAAGCTACGTGACGCAAGCTACGTGATGCAATCACTCTATGTACAGTCGGGCCGCTGACACAAGCAAGGCTGAATGAGGAATTGAAGCCCCTCTCCCTCTTTGGCCCCAAAAACCGCCTTCGTTCACGAGGAGGGCCAGGAGGAACAGCCATGGAAGGAACTTGGGAACAGCGAGCCCCTTCCGAATCCATGCTGCTCCTTATTTCAGCGTCTTGACTGTAGTGCAGGCTACGCGGCGCGAGCTCTGTGATGCACCCCGCGCACGGGGCGGCCACGACGCGGCCCACGGGCGGCCACCCCGGCGGGCACCCGGCGCAGCTCCGACACCGCCCCTCCAG